AAGCATGGTACTCTTTTGCAACTTTAAAAGACGGTATTTTGCATGTAGGAACAGAACAAAAGTTTCAGATGTTTTAAAACATTCTCAAAAACTTATTTCAGCCTTTTTCAGAAGACAGAAAAGGGCAAGGAGAGGAAGAAACTCATTAAAAAATCCTCAAGTAGTACCTAAAAACTGTAAACAATTAAAATTCCTACTTACAAAGCTGAGTAAAAGAATAAGACTCAACTGTGCTGTAGCTGGCTACTAAAATAAATCTCAGCAGGTACAAAGCTGTGTCTTTAGCACATATTTCATCATTTGCATTGTCTTTGCCTCTGTCGGCATCATATAATGTAAGTGGGTTCACAATTCATTGTGACAACGCCCATAGGTACAACACTATTCGTGACCTCTGCTTGTCACTCTAAGAATGATTAGTTGATCAGACATAACAAGGAAACTAAGATTCTTTCTGTTTGAGCTGTATTCCTCCTATTTTGCATTCTTCTGATATCTGAAAGCATTTTCTGCCATGACATGCATACACAGAGTACATCAGTTCTCTTTGCCATAATCACCACAGTATGCAAGTGTTTCAGACTATTTCTGTAGATTTGCCAGCCTTTAGCAAAGGGAATTTAGCATATTAACATTGCATATACACCCATTAGCAAGAAGGCCAGTTTCTGAGAAAACCACTTTCAGAGTTTTTCCCATATGGCTTCAAACAGGCACTCAAGATACAGAACTGACAGCTCTGTCAAGAATTTTAGGTACATAATTTCACTAGTTGCATTCCCACGCATCATTATATTAAGAAATGCTGTCTGAAAGCTATAAAAAGCTTCTCTTGCTTGGCAACATAAGACTCTTATCTTTTTCATGACACATATTTTAAGGATACCCTGAATAGTTTCCCAAAACAAGAAAGGTATGAGGCATTTAGTTGGATCTGCCTTTAAAACAGAGATTTGCACAAAATACCAAAAAAACATACAGAGAACATAATATAGGGGGAGGGGGAAGTGGAGAAAAACAATAGAAGTGATGAAAAATTGCCGTAAGAATTCAGAGTGAACCCTACTAAAAGTCTATCTCTTCTATGCAGAGAGGAGAAAATACATTGTAATCTGACCAGTGTGTTCTCATTTCTAAACTGATATATTACCAATCAAAGACTTAAAAACTCGATCAGATTGATATTGGAATATTATCACTCACCTGTCATTATAAAGGCTAAATTAAGAATGTGTTCAAAGGAAAAAAATAATAAAAATACCATCATTCTGATTGACTAGGACTGCATTATACAGAAGAAATAATATCATACAGACACTGCCATATGAATAAGGATTCAATGAACCAATTAACACAGCAGAATATACATAATTAATAACCCCGTGCAGCTGAAGACTGCCAATAGCTCAGTGAAGAAAAATGAAAAGATGAAGTGAGAAAACTAATAGTATTAAACTGTTGAATTTTTGGTTAACTCTACAGTTTTTATTCATTCCTCGAGTAAGAAATATCCCTATCTATTAAGCAGTGTGCACAAAAAAGACCTACATTCAAAAAAGAACAGGTTTTCTCAAACAATTAGTGTCCAATATGCCACAGAAATCTTCAAGTAATCAGTACTCTAGGAAATACTTGTTCTGTTGCTCCAACAAACTCAATTTGCCATCCTAATGAAGGGATCAACCAGCACACTACCACCTACATCTCTTGCACAGAACTGATATACCCGGAACTCAGAATACTGGTTTTTAACAACCTTTACTTTATAGGCAAGAAAAGAATCTGGTTTAAGAGAAATAACATATCCATACAGGCAAATTATCTGTAAGAAATTACTTCTCATAATAACTAGTGGTCTTGAGTCCAAACCTGAGCACAGGTTCCAATGTTTGCTCAGTATGTAAACCATACCCCTTATAAATAAAAAATAAAACTTTCTGCCATTTTTTATTATCTTAAAACAGCAATGAAAGATTACCGCCTGGTCCTTCTTGTGTACACTACAGAAAATAGGCTTAGTGCCAGCATTTCAATACTTTCAAAATGGACAACTTGTAAGTACCAGGTGTCAGAAGAGACTCAGGATTATTTTGCCACATGGATTTTAGTAAAACACTTGATAAAATTCCAAGATCTTTCTTAGTTACTTCATAAACTCTGTCTTGTACACAGTTTCCCTGTACATCCTCACATGTTGGAACAGAACTATGAAGACCTCAGTAACACTAATCATGACCTTTATTCTACACTTGGACCCACATGAGCAATCCCATGGACACATCCATTAAAGCTGCTTAAAAGAAAATTCATAGTTGCTAAGTGTACAGAGAAGCACACGGTAAGAGAAAGTACCAAAGAATCACATAAACTGAGTTCTAAATTCATATGTAGTTCTCCACACCACCTGAACAGGTCAGTAAAAGTCTCTACCAGGTCAGTAGAAGTCCCTACCAAATATGCTAGTGATAACCAGAAAGCCTGTATGTATTTTTAAAAGAATATGAAAGTGAAAAAAACCCCAACAACCAGTATTCATAGACTCGTAGAATGTTTTGGATTAGAAGGGACCTTTGAAATGCATCTAGTTCAACTTCCCTGTCATGGGCTGGAACATCTTTTAGTAGATCACATCGATCAATGCCCCATCCAACCTGACTTTGAACACTTCCAATGATGGGGCATCCACAACCTCTCTGAGCAGCCTGCTCCATTGTCTCACCCCATCACCCCCTTCCTTATATCCAGTCTAAATCCATCCTCCTTCAGTTTAAAACTGCTGCCCCTTGTCCTGTCACTACATGCCCCAGTAAAAAGTGTCTCTCCATCTCTCCTGTAAGCCCCCTTTTGATTCTTGTAGCCCCTTTAGAGTACTGAATGGCTACAATAATGTCTCTCTGGAGCCTTCTCTTCTCCAGGCTGAACAATCCCAACTCCCTCAGTCTGTCTTCATAGCAAAGGTGTTCCTGCCCTTGTAGGACTTTAATGGCCCTCCTGTGGACCTGTTCCAAGATGTCCATCTCTGTCTTCTGCTGGAGGCCCCACAGCTGGATTTAACACTCCAGATGAGAGGAGCAGAGAGGAAGAATCACCTCCCTCAACCTGCCAGCCACATTTCTTTTTATACAGTCCAGGATACAGTTGGATTTCTGGGCTGCAAGTCCACATAGTTGGCTCAAATCAGAATTTTCATCCACCGGCACCTCCAAGTTGTTTTTCTGCAGGGCTGCTCTCAATACATTCATCTCCCCAGTCTGTGTTGATACCAGGGGATGCTCTGACCCGGGAGCAAGACCTTGCACTTGGCATTAAGAACCTCATGAAGTTTACACGGGCCCTCCCCTCAAGCCTCTCAAGGTCCCTTTGGATGACACCCCTTCCCTCTACCTTACCAACTTCACCACTTAACTTGATGTGATCCACAATATTGTGGACAGTGACACAGTCTCACCAGTCTCAACATGACCTTAAGTCATGTTGGTCCCTCTCTCTGAGGTAGACCTTTATTATAAAGTCACCACAAAAAGTATTAATATTCCAGTAAGTCTATTTCATACCCTATTCACATTATTTTCTTCCAAAATATAGCAGAAGTATGTCAGAGACAGATAATGTGAAGGATTAGAAGGAGGGAACTTCCATGGAATGAGAGTGAGAAATCTCACACTATGTTGTTTGAAATAAAAAACACACTCTTGTTTAGTATTTCTCACAATGACAAAAGAGATATACATTAAAATCAAAAGATAATGGATATACGGGTTTTAAAAAACATCAGTTTTCCCTCAACTGGTAGAAAATCAGAAATCAGGCAAGTACACAGACTGAAACCTCCAGGTTCAGGAAGTAAGGGTGAGAAATAATCATCTTTGAGGGTGCAAGACAGCTTCTAAGTCATAATGTGAGGCATAAATTTCCATCAAAGAGGTTAACTGGAGGATTCCACCCCTATGCTTTCATCCAAGGTGCTGAAGAGAGGGTATCCAACAAATAGATTTTCTAATCCAGTTCCATAACTCCCGTATTCCTGGAATCTGAATCACATACCAAACTACAAGGCACATTTGACGAAAAAAAGCCTCATTATGAATCCAATATCAACCATACACAGAGCATGAATAAATCAGTCTTAAAAAACCCATGCAAACAAGCAAAAGAAATTCAAACATCCCTACCACGCATCAATCTTCAAGATTCCTAAGGAAAGCAAATGTCATTCCTACCTTCAAGGGTAAGAAGTAGGACCCCAGGAACTAAAGGTCAGTCAGCCTCACCTCAGTCTTTGGCAAGATGATTGAACAACTATTCCTTTTCTATGTTACTAACAAAATCATAAACTAACAAAATTAATCTTATCTCAACAAGATATATAGCAATGATAAAAATAAATAAAGAAAAAGCGAGTCAGTGTTCCACAATTCTTTCCAAATATTTGATCTTGGCTGCCACTTATGTGTTCTATACACAATTCCTTATGCATTTGAAGGCTTATTATGAACCAACAAAAGGATGTTATTATACCTTCTCATAGATGTAGACATCTATGCTAAAGATACAATGAGACTTCATAGCATGTAGCAAGTTTTAACTGGTAATAGGCACACAGGAAGCAAGATTATCATGCCACCATAGAAAAGTATCTCAAAATTGTAAGAAGTATCTCACAAAATTCACCATCCAACAAGTTCACAAAATTAAAGACGGCAGGTGCTCAGATGCAAGTAATGAGAATCAACAGGCTGATGAGCTAAACCACCACAAGTGTTCATGACCACATTTTACCCTTGCCCTATTGAAGGCCTGTTCACAAACACCTCCAAAGGGTCAGTTGGTTGCACTACTTTGCATTGCTAATAAGTATGCTGGCTTCTCACAAACTTTGTATCTTAGTTTAAACTCCTTGCTTAAAATCAAACCAATACAATTTTATTCTCTCTCAGGAAAAACAAACAAAACAAAACAAAAAAAACCCCACCAAAACAAACAAACAACAAAAACATTACCTTCTGAGGGGTCAAAACCCTCTGCCTGAACTTTTCAATCGTATCTTGACCCGCCGCCGCCCATGCAGTAGCAAATGCTTCAGCTTTGTCTTGATCCAGGTGAATGCTCTGTAGCTGCTGTTGCAATGACACAGGCTTCAAATTATGATAGACTGCCTGTTAAGAGGAAAAATAACTGCTGTTGTTGAGCGCTGGTCTACAAGTCACTCCAGATACGTTCTACCACGGATGGCCACCATGTTCACACAAGATTTTTACGAGCAACTCTACTGGGGGACTACAAGCATCCTGTTGTTCTTCTTAACCCTCTAACTGAGAAGACAGAAAAGCATAACTATCTTAAAATGCAACATTACAAATAACTCTTCTCAAGACAGACAAACTATGAAAAAAAACACACATACAAGCGAAATCTGAGTATTTGTACAGATTTCCACTGTACATAATACCAAAGCAGTGATCACTGAAAAAAACCTGGGCTTTGAAGCCAATTGTGACCAAAAAAAAAAAGGATAACTTTTCCAAATTCACACTATTCAAGTAAGCCTGAACTACGAAGTAGTATTCCAAAAAGATGAGCTCACCAAAACTGAAGGAGTCAGATATTACCTCCCTATTAGCATCATTTTTTTGTGTTTCACACGGTGCATAGTATGCTGGTCTCCCCTTTCAAAACAGGACTCTGTCATCACCAGGTCAGGGAAAAAAAAGAAACAACACATGTGGCAAAGACCATACAGAAGTCCTTTTATCTCTAACGTGTCCATAGACCAAAGGGCTGCTAAAAAAGTTATGCCCTGTGATATGGTTTGAAGCTGGCTCCCTGCCAAGTCTCCAAACCTTACCACAAGAAGTCGTCCCCCCTCCAAACCTCAGAGAGAAGAGGGAGAAAAAACAACTAAGAAAACCTGAAAAGAGAGAGAGACAGCTAAAGTGATATATATAAATATATATAAATATATTTACACTTATGTTACAGTTATATACAATTGAAATATATACAATTTCACAAGGGAAAGAGAAGGGGGGAGGGAAAAGGAACAAAACCAAAATAAAATATATATATATCCCAATTAGTAACTCAATATCTAACAACTAAAAGAGTTAGCAAAGAAATATCTCACTACTCTCCTTGGGACAACCGAAGAGTCGCTCTGGACCGATCACCGGCAACCTCTGCCTCCCAAGGTCGACAAGGCCTAACCAGGCCTCGCTCCCCAACACGGCAGAACCGACAGCAGGGAACCTGCACCTCCAAGCCGCCGGAAGGAAAGAGAGCGAAGGCCTCTCCTCCTTTCTTCTTATAGTCTGGCTTACGTAAAAATCGTAGGGAATACTGGGTAAATCTGGGCCCTTCCTTGGTTACAAACTGGTCACCAAGGAAGGCCTAGCCCAAACCACCACACCCTGACAGAACAAGTAGCTCTAAGAAGCACAGCTATCAGCAAGAACACATACATGGTTCGCATACATGTAGTCCATCTGGGACTCCTTTTTTTTTTTAAATGCAAAAGAAGCAAGTCCTAGAGGAGAATAACTGCTTTTTCTGTTCATCTTCAATGATTATAATATAAATTAAGCAGCCTGATGAAATAATGACCAGGCAATAAACAGGTAAGTCTGATGTTTGGCTGAGATGAAAATTCAAAATTTTAGTCTGGAGGTGATCTCAGGTTTCATTTTCACTTTTTTGGTCGGTAGGAGCCATGGGAAAGACTGTTTGCTTTCCTTCTAAAGCAGTGGAATGTGTCAACTAAGTGTAGTGATCATAAACTGACGTGTAAGAAAGGACTAGATTCAAATCCCACAACAGACCATCACTATGTGTTCCCCTGGTACAGACTATAGTTTCTATAATCACAGGAAATGGACGAAAACATCATGGGTGTGACAATTTTTAAGACAGTTAATATATTTACCACATAATACAATGGCTTCCTAACCTTAGTAGAGGCAGACTGCAGAATTAGAAAACCTCTGTTTACAAGGTATTTAGCTCTACATCATGCAGTCATCCACTCCTCCAAACGCTAGAGCTGCATGAGGTGTGTCTGTTCACCTCAGTACAGGCTGCTTCTGGGCACCAAAGTTTTCCATAACTGAATCTTAAGGCAACTTAAGCAGTGATCAATAATGCTATGTAGTATTTTCCTTACAAGAAAATGGCTAACTTATTTACAATGAATAAGAGGGAAAACTATATCTCATAATTACCATCACTTCTCTTGGAGTCATGCAGACCTCCCTTCTACCAATAACATCTACATTAGCTGGAAAATCAATCCACAAAGGCAATTAGTCCCATCCAAATCAGGAAGGCATGAAAACAAAAGCAGTAAAATCATGAACCCAACACATATATAATATACTACAGATATATGTTTCCACTAATTAATTTTTAACTTGACTTTTATATTTTCGAAATCTAATGTGGGATAGAAAAATACATTTATCAATGCATAAGGATGAAAACAAAATACCTGTTCTAAAATGAAGGATATAGTTTCAAGAACCAGATGAAGATCCTGCTTTTCCAATGAAAAAGCTATTTGAAGTTTTTCTTCCTCCTCTTCACTGAAGGTACTTTCAGCCTGAAGCACAGAAATGTTTAGTCACAATATTTCATTTAAGGACGAAGAACTTACTTGTTAAAATAAAAACATAGTGGCTGTCCAGTTGTTTCTAAATGGAAATAGCAAAGTAAAGTTCTTTTCCAACAGAAATATACAAGCGATTCCTCTCACTGAAAATCAAAATTGAAAGTCAACAGTACCACAGGATTACTTGAAATACAGCAGAAGAAAATGCTTTCTCTTTGCACCTGAGAGACACTAAAGAAATATTTTTCTTTCAATTATCAGATCCAACCACCTTTTATAAATAAAAATAAGACAAGTACTAAGTCCATTACCTAAGTCAGACCCCAGAGAAAACAGAAGGCAAAACTGTAATGAAGTTAGTTGTGTATGTTTCTTCCACTCCAGATGTCCTACAAACCACCCACGCTGTTATTAAGGAAATAAAGGCCTAATGCATATTTATTTTTTAAGTCAGATTTGAGTCTACAAACTACTCTATTACTGGAGACTATTGAGAATGTACTGTACTTTTAAAATACAGCAGTTGTACTTATTATACGAGAGAAAATTAAACAGTAATTTAAATGCAGATATTGCCTTCTTTTAAAATGTAATTACTAACAAATCTATAATACAGACAACAAAACACCATATTTAGATCGCTTAGTAATGCAAAACTGCAAAGAAAACAAGAAAATCAATTCAGCTGTCAGAATAAAAAAATGAGGCAATTACAAATTTCAATGATTGCAACATACATAACAAGAGTATCAAAATGGAAACATTATTTGAATAATTAGCTGTTGGAGGGAAACACAGAGTGTCTGCTTTGTTAAGGAAAGTGAGTTCATTTAAAGTTTCCAGCAATTTAACCAGCTCTAAATACTTCAATACTTTAGAAAGGTCAGCCAAACCACTCAGGAGATTGAGTTGGTTAAATTACAAAGACCACGTCCCTCATGTAAATATTGATTAAAACTGTGAAGAGCTACTAAAATGCTATGGAGTAGTAAAAAAGAACAAACAAACCAAACAAAAAAAAGAAGTTAGTGACAGTTCGGATTTAACGATGAGTTAGTATCCATGCAAAACAACCGACAAAACTCTGCAATAACAGCAACATCCAAGCTAGTAATTTTGATAGGAAAAAAAACTCAGCAATTGAATCAAATGAATCCTTATAGCCTCAGAATTATAACCTTTAATACATTCACATTTTTTTCCATGTTGCTCCTAACCTGTAATATTTTAACATTTAGTTTGTAGCATGTGTACAGAAAACAAATTCTGTATTTCTTATTCTACTTTTTCTGGACACAAAACAAGGGAATAAACAAAATCTAACACTGAAAGACAACAAAAATGACAAAATATATTTCTGGTGTAAGATTTATCTTACAGTTTCTGCTGCAATATTTAGTGCAAAGTTTAGACCTAGTCTTCATTTGACATTTTGGCACTGTACAATGAAACTTACTACTGATTTATTTTATTATTTTTTTATTTATTCTGCAATTACAAATATCTTCTGTAAAGGTGACAAAAATATTCACTAAAAGTTCTGGGCTTTATTTTTAACCTCAGTTTCACAGGTGGTTTTGGTTGACGGATATACAGAAATGCAGAAAAATAAACAAAAATATGCATTTAGTGTTTCGCTCATGATGTACAATGTGGTATACATAAAATTTTCCTTACAAAGGATGTTCTCTGATGTTTGATCTTTGTATATTTTGAAGCCTAAACATCAAGAAAGGAGATTTAATCCACAAAACAGAGAGCAGCTAACAAGCTCTAAGTGATGTCCAGGTGTTAGAAAAACAAATTACTTGCAGTAGAATTGCGTTTTTAAGGTTTAGGGTTCGCATGCTTCAGGGATCTCAGACCTAGGGGGAGGTTAACAAAGCTTGGGAAGAAGGATGTATCACTGATAGTGGATACAAAAAATGCAGAATTTAGGGTCCACAAAGACATTTGGCAGAACTCCAAAGATAAGGAAGAAACTAACAAAGCCAACTCAGCAACCGTGCGGAATCCACTCCGACCGGGTAAAAGGTAATTCTGGCAACAGGAGAGCACGACCACAGACCCACAGCCACAGACCCAAGTAACCCACCGATCCAAAAGCAAGAGACTGAGCATGTGGACTAATTAGCATGAGAAGCGATGGAATCACTAACCAATAGAAGACAGGATACGAAGTAATAAGACTACTATGTAACTTGCGGCAACGGAACACTAATTCCTTTGTTTGCTAAAATGTATAAATAGTAAAAAAGTTTTGATAGTTGGTGTGTTTGATTTGTGAAATTCCACCAGGCACCCAGCCTTGCACAACTCTGAAATAAACAATCAGTGTCTCTCTCGAGTGTGCAATTGTTGGCTTGCTGCATACAAGGTAACGAATCCGATTTTTGTGGACAACACTCGCGAGGGCAGGAGCGTGGTTTGTGCCAAAGGCCAAGGAATTCGCGTGTCCTGACAGCGCCCTGAGGCACTGGCGCCAGGAGGCCTCGGGTTATTTACGAGCATCACTCGCCCTCACGCCATTCACCTTCTGCCAGTAGTTACCGGCTCTTACTTAATCCACCTGAAATAGTTCTGAAAAATTAGTGATGAATGAAATCAAGACCTAAAATCCTCTAATCGAGGAAATATCAGGCTCCGCCCGCAGCCGCGCGGCCCCAGCGCCGCCGGGCCCGGCCCCGCTCCCGCCCCTCCCGGCGGGACACGGCCCCGCAGGCCCTCCGCGCCCCGCCAACCTTCAGGTGCAGCTTCTGGAGAAGGCGGGAGAGCAGCCGCGGGAATCGGCCGGAGTCCACGGCGTTGAGCAGCGACACGGCCCTGCGGATGCTGCGCGGAAGGACAGGGGGCGGTCAGAGGGGCCCTGTCCCTGCCGCGTCCCAGCACCGCGGCGGGAGCCGCCCCGCCCTGCCCTACCCCGCCCTGTCCCGCCCGGCCCGGGACAGCGCAGCCCGGGGGAGCCGCAGCGCCGGTACCTGTCGCTCTCCGGCACCACGGGCGCCGCCATGACTGCGGCGCGGGCCCGCCCCCGACGGCGGCCCGGCGGGGCCAAGCGCCTCCGCCCCGCTCCTCTCGCAGAGAGGGCAGCGTGAACCCACGGAATCACAGAATCAGTTAGGTTGGAAAAGACCTCTGGGATCACAGAGTCCAACCTGTGACCGAGCACCACCTTGTCAACTAGATCATGGCACTAAGTGCCACGTCCAGCCACTCCACCACCTACCTGGGCAGCCCATTCCAAAGCCTAGTCATCCTTTCTGTGGAGAAATTCCTCCCGATGTCCAACTGAAACCTCCCCTGGCGCAGCTTGAGGCTCTGTCCTCTCGTCCTGTCCCTGGTTGCCCCTGGCCAGCTCCTGGCTGCACTTCCTGCACAGCTCTGCAGGAGCTTCAAAGCTGGAAAGGTCCACAGGGACGTTTTGTTCCCGTGTGGGAGCGCACAGACAGCCCCAAAACACCTGTCATCACGATTCTTTTCTTGTCATAGCAAGCTGCCACCCTGTCGGTAACAGAGTCCGTGGAACCTACAGCAGCTGTCTTCCCCAAATCACCTGTGCCCAGGTACGACGCCCAGAGTGCCACCCTGTCAAACGCCATTTAACTGCCCTTGTAAGGCACAGAGCACACCATGCTTTTTTTCAGGCCAAGTACAAGGTTGTCAAGCCACATGAAGAGAACCATTAAGTTTAAAGCCCCAGGGGGAAGCAGCACTGGACTGTGTGTTTGTACTTCAAGGGTATTACCTCGAGTGGATGCAATGCCTGTGAGACCTGTAGTTTCCATCAGATTTGGCTGAAATTGAAAAATGTGTTCAAAGACAATGGGATGAGCACACAGAGGAACAGGCAGCATGGCTGTATAAACCTTGTTTTCCTAGGAAACTAACAAAAAGTTTTAATAATCTTGAAAGGCTTTTGAATGTGGCTGTGAAGGTTTATAAGGTGTGTCATGAAGGGTTAGTTGTACAGTAATAAATTATGGTAGGCTCAAGAGGCAGGTGGAAAAGGTTGGAATTTTTTGAGGGTACTGTGAAGAAATGTTTTATAAACATATATGCTGAAATCTTGCCTGTGTTGAACTGAAGGGAATTTGTCACTGGGATTAATTTCAATATCACCAGGACATCTGAAAAGATAATGTCTGTTTAAGTACACTCGGCCTAAAGAAGCAATTTGGGGGGGGGGGGGGGGGGGCGGAGAGGGGGAAGTGACAAGCCTGGCTGTACTCCAACAGGAATTTTAAACTAGAGAATTCCTAGCTGAGACTTTAACAATATTTGTGCTATACCTCTTACCAGAAGTGGGGCTCACAATCGTTATGAATGGCAGTTACATTTTTCAAGCTATTGTTCTAGGACTAAACACAATTACATTCAACTATAACATCTGGTTTTCTGTACTCTTATAAAACATGAAAAAAAAACAATATTCTTGCAAGAAATTTACTTGGCTGGAAAAGAGAAATGAGTGTTTTGCTCCACACTGAAAAAAAAATAATGTAACTTCTTGTTCTAGGAAATCTCTCCCGAGAATAGAATTTTTTACAGTTTGTTCAGGCAAAATGGCCAAGGACAGCTGGAAGTCTAGACATATGCATACTTATTTTGTAAAGTTCCAGCTGATACAGGTATTGGATGCGCCACTCAGGTTTGCTGCCAATTCTCTGGTTTTATAACCTGGACCTATTTTAAAGTGTTTTCTTTCACATTTTGCTGCATCAAAACAACAAACATTAAGAACATATCTGGGCAGGATCCCGAGCAACCTGCTCCAGCTGGGCCTGCTTCACAAAGGAGGTTTGACTTAAGAACTCTGGAGGCTTTTTCCACCCTGTATGATTCTGTATTCAGAGACTCACTGCATAAAGACAGGAAAGAGAGCACCTAATCAGAAATAATAAATAATTAAGCTAACCTGACAAGGTGCTGTCAAGTGCAAAATTAAATAATTTTTTTTCCTAGCACCTTTTCTAGCACCTGAAAAAAGAATTATAAAAAGTTGATACTTCTCATGAATCCATTCACCTATTATTGATTTGTACTTGCATCCATGACCCGCTTTTCCAACGTGAAAAACAGGTTTCTTTCAGTGAGCTTATGATACTACACAATGTATTTTATCAGTTGTTTTAACTATCCATCTAGGTAAGACATATTTTGACTCAAAATGTTCCACTTGACATGCGAATGGATGTTGTATGGGCTTTTGGATTAGTCTGCTCAGCACCCACGACAAAATGTTAGGCAGCAGGGAGTGACACTTCAGAGCATTTAGCTGCTGATAAATGTTAGTAATCTTGCTCCCTGACAATAGTCTTGAAAAGCTCAGTTTCCCCTGCTTTGCATTTCTAGAAATTGAAGTATATATTTTTTTTTCACTGTTTTGTCTGTGCTCAAGCCTTTTTCTGCCATTTTTATCCCTGTAATTTTTCCTTACTTTTGAAGCTGCACACAAAAGAACATGTTGAACTTCTTCAAGATCTGATTTGGACAATATTCCTGGCAATGTGTAATGACTAAATAGTTGTCCTATAACTCAGTGAAAATAAACCAGTAATGTTTGACCTAAATTTTCACTTTTGGCCTGCAAGTGGCTTAAGCAATTGAAGTTAGCAAGCTATAAATTTGTGTGGCAGGAATTGATTTGAAATATTATTGAAAAAAGTTGTTTGTCTTTTTGGTTTTCTTTTCTTGTAATGTAAGTTCTAAGTGTTTCAGTTAAATTACATCAATCAGAAATAAATACTCCTCTGTTGCTGTTTGTGACTTTTACCATTATGAAACAATCTGCCATTATTTCTGTTTGCAGAATGTAATCTCATTACAATCACTGGGACTACTTGGATTCTGCTTGGAAAGAGACAAGGGAACTCTTAGTTTATTGGTTCTACCTGCTGGTTCATTGTTTGCTATTTTTGTGGTTATATATGAACATTCACCAGTCATGTGAAGGTCATCAGTTTAATTGGGTGATGCGGTTCTTCAGAATAGAAATCGGGGCTGGATAGCCTATGCTAATAAAAGGCATCTGTCAGCATAGAGAAGATTCATGTGTGGACAACAGGCCTTAATTTATGCCATTATGACACAAACAGATACGATCCTGTAAGGAACCAGCATTCATACCTTTGCACCTGCGTAGAGTTAGAAGGACAGTGCTTTGCAGAGCCAGGCTGATGGAGAAGAGATGCATTGCCCTCTGCAAATTATAAGACACAAAATCTTTATATGGCTAATGAAATGCAAGTATAACGTTCTCACTGACATTCAAAGTTTCAGCTGGCTCAGACTTGATATCTCAGTTTTCCCAATAGAGTGGGATGAAACAAAATAGCCCACTGAAACATGCATAATTTGTTTTAAAATGTTTGGAGATCATGAGTAATGTGTCAAAGGAAGAGCTACAGTCAATATTGCAATCACTGGCTAAGAAACTCACAGAATCATAGAATTGTTAGGGACCTCTGGAGATCATCCAGTCCAGCTGGCCTGCCAAGGCAGGGCCACCTAGAGTAGGTGACAGAGGAACTCATCCAGGTGGGGTTTGAATGTCTCCAGAGAAGGAGATGCCACAACTTCCCTGGAAGCCTGTTCCGGTGTTCTGCTTCCCTCAATGTAAATAAATTTTTCCTCATGTTGAGATGAAATTTCTTGTGTTTTAGTTTGTGTCCATTGCTCCTCCTCCTGTTTCTGTGCACCACTGAAAAGAGTCTGGCACCATCTTCTTGGCACCCATCCTTGAGATAATTATATGCATTAATGAGATCCCCTCTCAGTCTTCTCTAGACTAAACAGGTCCAGCTTTCACAGTCTCTCCTCATAAGAGAGATGTTCCAGATCGCTCATCATCTCTGTGACCTCTGCTGGACCCTCTCCAGTACCTCCCTATCTTTCTTGTACTAAGAAGCACAGAACTGGACACAGCACTCCAGATGAGTTCTCACTAAGGCCGACTAGAGGGGAGAGGATCACCTCCCTCAGCCTGCTGCTCCACTCTTCCCAATGTACCCCAGTATACCATTTGCCCCTTGACCACAAGGGCACACTGCTGGCTCATGGTCAACTTGTCACCCATCAAGACTCCTGGGTCCCTCTCTGCAGAAGCTGAGCTGCAGAGCTGTCCTTTAATAGACTTGCCCCCACAACCTGTAATATTTGGGGTTATTCCTCCCCAGGTTCAGGACACTACATTTGCCCTTGTTGAACCGCATTAGGTTTCTCTACGCCCAATTCTCCAGCCTACCAAGGTCCTACTGAGGCAACACAGCTTTCAGGTGTACCAGCTGCTCCTCCCAGTTTTGTATCATCAGCAGCCTTATTTAGGGTACATTCTATTACTTCATCCAGGCTTTTGACGAAAAAGCTGAGTAAGACCAGACCCAGTAGTGATCCCTGGGAAACACCACTGACTACAGGCCTCCAACTGGATTCTATTCCACTGTCATGACCTTCTGAGCTCTGCCATTCAGCCAGTTCTTGATCCACCTCCTCTGTCCATTCAAGCCACATTTCCTGAGGTTACCTACGAGGATGTTATGGGAGACACTGTCAAAAGCCTTGCTGAAGCTGAGGTAGGCTGCTCTCCCTGCATCAACCCATCCTGCCACGCCAACTCAACAGAACTGCAGCAACTGTAATGCATTTGGTGTAAATGTGCGTCTAAGGATATTTGAATATTTATTCAGAAAGTATTAATCTATATTTCTTTAGTCCATCTTTTTTTCCCCTGAAGTGAATCAAATCTGTATTCTACCCTGGTATGGACAGATATAGAGAAAGTTCAATTGTGCTCTAATAGGCAATGTTTAAAAGGATCACAAAAATTGGCTGGAAAAGAGTTCAAAGTGTATTTTTTTTTAACACTTTAATAATGCAGGGGGATTGAATGGCACCTTGCCATATGCAGAAGTCCATTTTAAGCGAGGAGAAACTGTTTAGTGGTTTTGGGCTGTGACTGTATCTCAGGAACCACAGATCTGACTTCTCCCATGACTGATCATTCTTTTTTTTTTTTAAAGCACTGAAGGTAAATTAAATACCATGTGGTTTACTGGAGTTACCTAACATTAAGTCCCATTTG